TAAAAAAGCATATCATTTTAAATGCAATTTACCTTACATCATACAGGTATGAAATTTTTATTGAAGTAGATTCTTGGCGACAAGTTTATTATGCTGTTAGAGCATTTATTCAAGCGGCAAGTGTGCAGATCGACAATCAAAGTTTGATAAAGGGGACAAAAAATGCATGAAACCGTCAAAAGCATTTACATATTTAATATTTCTATTGAGGTTTTTAAGGATCATAAACTTGTATCTTGATGACCTACTAAATAACCTGCAAGATTTTATTTTTTTATACGATATGGATTTGAGTAGATTAAAAATGAAGGGATCGTTTCTGGGTACATTTTATTATCCTGTGGTGATAATTTATTGTACTTCCCACTTTTAGGGAAAGTGAGAGAAAGAGAAAAAAAGCATTATAACTGTACAAAGCATGACATAGGTGTGAGATGCCTAAGCTAATCTAATGCGATACGATGACTTCATTTTCTGATGACATCAACACTGAATGGAGTTTTACTCCCCCAACCTTTCCTGTTCTTTGTGGTGACAGTGCATCTTCATTTAAAAAATTGCCAGTCATGATATGTTAACAAAATTATGATATATCAAGAAAACAATTTTTTTTTTATCTTTAACTCTATTTGTTTCGACTGTTATAGGGAATTTTTGTTGCCTTAATTGGCTTGATTAAATTTATTAACTTTTTGATTCGTGATTATTTCTCTGCTGCAAAGAATTTTTAATGTTTCTTGAAAGGCAGTCAGTTACGTTAGTTATAATTTTACTCACTCCCTAATCCGCACCACCCCCTTCTCCAACACCCCCATTTTGAAAAATGAAAATATAATGTTTAAAACAAGTTAAGTTCATCATACATCAATATAAAGTGATTTCATTATTTTTATACATATGATTTCAGTGAAAAATGACTTTAAAATTGCACCAATCCCCCCCCCCAAATATCAATACTTTTGAATTTAATAAAACAATAAAATCATAGCTCCACACTTCCACAAGCCTGGCAATTGCCCTGATCGAAATTCATGTATAAAACCTTTACTGCTCAAATTATTTATGTTCATGTAAAACTTTTCATTGTAGGCAAAGGAGGACAGCCACAAGACAGAAATACTGGACAGTATGGCTATGTGTCACCGTATCCACCATACCCCAATGGATCATCACCATTGGTAAGTATATAGGAAAAGGGAAGTAACTCCAACAGCTGCACAGACTTTGTTCAGGGGTGGTACAAGGAAGATAACTCTTGTTGTCTTGTCAGATAAAAGTTGGAAACCAGCTGTGATAGGCAGAGGGAGTGGGTGGATAATCAGATATTCTAATTTTATGAAAATGAGGACTTACTGTTTGCTAATGGTTTTCAAGTGTTAAATAAATTTACTCTAGTATAATTCTATTGACAATCTGCATGACAGGAACACATTTAAAGTTTAATTTGTTGAGTCACGAAAGGAGATGGAAATTCAAAATTTAAATTTAATAAAAGAGAAATGAAATTCTATTTGCATTAAATTCAGTTTGCTCTACAGTAAAGTGCAGATTTAAAAAAAGAAAAGAAGCACTACATGATGCACAGCATGTACCAATAAATTCAGCATATTTTTCATGCACTGGTACATAAAATTATATACATGTGTAAATTAGACTAAGTTGACATCAAGACTGGTGGGTGCGTATCATTGCCGCTACATTTTCGAAATTTTCATTACTGCTACATAGTCATTACCTTCAAGGTCTTTAGAAGTAAGATTACTGGATTTTACTGAAAATGGTTACAATATTTGGAAGGAAAATAAAAGTCCTCAAGGTCATTTTTTTGACCACTGGAAAACTGCTGAATCAAAGATTAAGTGTGTGGCAAAAGAAATAGTTTCTGTTTTATGTCTTTTAATGTTTCATCATAAAGTTGCAGAGATTTAGGTCTGTAAGTAATTTATAACATCAGCTGTGGATTTTGACACTTAGATTTAAAGAGTTGAGGCTATAATAAAATGTAAAGAGGTGGTCAAAGAACTATCTACTGTTCATGTCGGTCTCTCTATCATCCAATAGTGTTGAAGACTTTCCACAGTCTAGTTCCTTGTGTCTTATTAAAACCCTTAGTGAAACTCATTACCATGGCTTAAAATTGACACTTTCATTTCTGACACCTGGATTCCTATTTTTTATTTTTTTTGGCCGTATTTATTTAAAATATATTCATAGTCATTAGTTTCTGTCAGAGCCAGTGACGGAGGAATTTGTCGTTTTGTATTTCGTATTACAAAGAGATTTCTATCGTCCTTCTCGCCCGCTCAAAGTGCACGAGATGGTATTCCTGTCTTGTCGAACCTGTGGTTATATTTTTACGATCCTCATCTAAAATTAATTTTCATCAATTTTTTTGTCATCCAAAAAAACCGAACAGCTCTTTAGCACAAGTTTTAATGTTATTAATGATAGAACAAGATACAGTTGACAGTTAGCGGGAGTCAGTATAACTGAGATGGTGTTTTTTTTAATTTTTTTTAAAAATGTGGAATAAAATTTTTTTTGAACAACACAGGGTGATCAATGTCAATTTTTTACTTTTGTCTTAAAGGAAATGATTTGTATTTCACAGATACTCTAACAAAACATAAATAATTTCTAAACCTGTCAGTGTCATCAAAACTCTTAAACTTACCTGCCATTACTTATATACTCTGACCATATAAGATATTGCATATAAAGTATGAATAAAATTGTAAGTGAGAGGTGCCAACATTCAGATGGCACATCAGACAACTTTATGCTCAAACTTAAAAGTATTTGGTCTTAATTTTAATCAGGAACGTAAAGGCTTTCATCAAAATAGGGATGATTTAGATTATAAGAATTTCATTTTATTGTTTGAATGACCAACACAGTCGGCTGACCCAGTCAGTTTGGTCGTAAAACGTGACAACTGTCATTCAAATTTTCTTGTTTAGGGCTTTAGTTGAAGAACCCTAGGAATTTAAAGTACAAAAATATTGGACTTCACAACTTTACAACTACTAAATATGCATGTTTTGATTTCACGATTTTGAATGTCTTCATATATAAATTTATTTCCTTTTTTAACAAATAAAGTCTTGATGAAGAAATTAACAATTTTGGAAGAGGAAGAAAAGATATTAGTTTAAAGTTTCAGATTTATCATCATACTCAAAGTTCAGGATTTTTATTCGTGGTAAACAAAACAAGAAACAAAAAAAGATGTCTAAAATGAAATTTTAAAAAAATTAGATGACACTTGTGCGGAAAATGAATTATTGTATAAAAAAAATGTGCCATTTGAGTCTGAAATGAATATATTGTAATTAGATAGTAGCTACTATTTATTGTTATCTGCGTTAAAGTGTTCACCTCAACAATTTCAAATGAACTATTGTTGGATTTAGGTTTTAAAAGGAAATGTTATCTTTCCTCTATAGAGTTTTGGGTGTTTTCCGAATTAGATTTGTCAAATTTGTCATTTGACCAAAAAACACAGTCCTGGGTTTATGAATGGCGGACTGTTTAGGCTTTTAGAAACTGAAGCCTAAGTGACCTTTTTGAATGGCAGTATAGACAAGCTCAAACCATAACATTCATTGCTGTCAAGAGATGTTAAAAGTCAGATGTAGAATACTATCATCACTATACACAGGCACAGTGCAATTGTGTCCCACAAATTAGAATTAAAAAAAAAATACAACAGAAAATGAGTGGCAGAATTGTAACAAGGCCATGCTTTGAACTCATTGATACTTGTATGATATTAGGTATGATAAAATCTTGTTTCCCCCCATTCAGAGAATTGAAAGAGGTTTTGGGTTCAAATCCCTACATCCCCTGGGGGTTAAAAAGAAAGAGGACATTTAATTGATGTAAAAGTACAATATAGAATTAACCCCTACACACTTTCTGTATTTTGTTTAAATTCTAGGACAAGAGAGTCCCCAAGCTTTCTGTTAGGTCCAAAAATAAAATTGCACCTATATATAGAAGACCTGATATATAATATAATTATTAAAGCTTGAGTGATATTTCATAATATCAGCTGTTTACAGATGAGCACAAGAAGATTGCATGGGGTACACCCATCATTCATTTCTCTATGTCATCTTCAGGGGGGCCGAACTAACTACCCTGGTACTCCATATCCATAGGCCGTCTGAGTGTGGACTTTTGTAGATTTGTTGAATCATTGTTTGTTCTTAGCATAAAACAAATGTTGTTATTCACTTGAGTCTATTACCCCATAATTGGGTTCAGAGTGATCAGATTACATCTAGGAAAGAAAGGCGGCAGTGCCGATTTGGAAGTCGCCACTGTTGTCAGTTCCATTAAAGTACTCTAGCTCAATGCACCTCTGTCAGAGCACTGAGAGATTCATGGGTACCAGCCAATAAGGAAAATCAATGAACCTGAATTAATTAGATATCAAATTTGTTTCTCATTGACTCAAAGCTATTACAAAAAATAATGATAAATATTGATAACACTGTTTTACCGTATGGCAAAGGCAACACGTCTTTGTTCACAGCCTTGTTGAGCCCACCCCTATTTATTTGCTTATTATCAATGAATAAATACATTAGACACATATGAATGACTTGTTTCCTTACCAGAGAATAGAGCCTACCCACATTCTTAAAAATAATTATCTTTTTAGTTCAAGACAGGGTATTTACAATTACAAGGCACAGATAAGCATTTAAAAAAAAAATTGGAGGGAGATTTTAAAATATTCGGGGCTGGTCCATTCATAATGTATTCCCAGAAGTTCTTTTGACCAATTGTGAGCCTCGGCTAAAGCAATGCACACTGGGGCTGTTTTTCTCTCAATCTGTCAAGTGTCATAGCTTAGCAACTGACATGATATATAGCCCGAGCCGTCACGTTAGGGTCAGGGTCAATATTCTACCTCCCCTTTAGTTGTAGACACTGAGCAATCAAAATACTCTAGACTTCTTCATTCATTCCATACCTGCCCAGCCACGTGTGTATATTTATTTTTTTTTTTTGAATATCACTCCAAAGGGAGAAAAAAGAAACAATAGGTCTTCTTTGATAAAACAGACACAAGAAATATTGTATCCCACACTTCAGGATCCAAGAGAGAGAA